GGATGCTGAGCTCTGCCAGTCCCTGCAGATGCAGGATGAGGTCCCCAGTGAGAACCAGAGCAGCTCCTGCAGGGCACCGTTGCCCCACACGGTGCTGAGCACCGCATCTTTGCTCCCCAGCCATAAAGAAAAGTGAGGCAGAAGTATTCTTGAGTATCCCTTCTACTTATGCTCCTAAACACCTAAAATTTCCTGGCTGTGTATTAACACTAACAGCCTCAAGAGCTCTCACTCTATCGATGAATGTAGCTTCTGTTTTCATATTTTATACAAGTTCTGTAACATATTAACGCATACCTTAACACTACTGACATGTAAATACGCTTTTTAACCACTGTAGGAACTACATATTCAAAGGTGTGTTTGACAGGCACTAAACAACTTTGAAGAAATACCATTTTAGGTTTCCTTATGCCTATCTGAGGACTGAGTAAAGTGAGTTTCTCACAGCAGAGTAAGACCCCATTAAATCACCAAGAGAAATGTGGGGTTTGGTAATGCAGCCACATGCCTGCCTTTACCACACAGATTCTCGCTTTCAGCAGCACAGATAACAGGGAGCAACTTGTCCTCAATATGCAGAGAATTCTGAATGATCCCTGTGGCATGCAAATGAAAAGATTCAGTGCTTTTCCTGATAAGCCTGGAGAAAATACCTGATCAATGGCAACAGGGTAAATCTCAATGGGCAGAAACACATCGACCCCAACCTACAGCTACCACTTGTTGTTGAATGCAAACAATCACCACCGGTATGAAACAATGCTAAATATTATCTCAGAACGTAAATTAACATTCCATTGCTATGCCGGATTGCAAAGAAGTTGCTTCGTTATTTATGCACTCATATTTGCTTCGTGCATAATGATGGCAGGCCCATCAGGCTCATTTTAAGTCACATTCTTAGAGCCTCATCGATAGCTCATGACTAAGGCCAGCATTTGGTTTACTGAACACAAGTTTACTTCTTTTATTATTCCTCTAGCTAATTCATTATCATTCTGTTTTCAGCCTGGATAATGGTATGACATTCCCTTTCCAGGAAAGACTTAGAAGAATTCTCCTTATAAGATTGTTTTGAAACTTCAGAGTTCTGCATAATGCTTCCCACTTGAGCTAATTGTTTTTCAAGGGAAATTTGATTTTAAAAAGCGTGTTTTCCTAACTAATGGGAACCTGCACTAAAGTAAACAATGAGTCTGGCCTGATAGGAATTTTTGCTCTATCTTTATAACAGAAGGAAGGAAAGCCATGTAACAGCAGGCTGAAACACATGCAGCAGCAAAATCGTTGAATTTTAAAAAACAATTAGAAGACAATTTTCTACTCCACTTCTCCTATTTGAAACAGATCATCCTGCCCTGCCTCATTTAATATTAATTGTGTATGTTCTTTTCTCTAGAAGAAAACATTAAATGCAGCTCCCTAACTCACGTTTTCGAGTCAAGTACATTTCCCATTAGCTATCGTGTCAATAAACCATTGTTCTCATAGATCATCTCTGCCCTGGAAATAATGTAAGAGGCACTCCAACCTTTTCAGGTTTGCCACCAGCTTTGAACATAACACTGAACTTACCTGCCAGGGGCGAACCTGGAAATCTGAAATGAGCATGAAAAGCCAAAGTTTCCTCCTCCTTGAGGGAAATTAATGAGTAACTTCATGGTTTTAATTATGTCTTATCTTCCCAGATGGGAATTAGAGAGGTCATCCCTAGCCAGCAGAAGTGAATTGCTTATTTATTCCTTCCTCATCTGCTGCACGTACATACACACCGCAGGGCCTCCTGCCAATCCAGAACCTTAAAACCCACTGTCCTCAACACCTTGCCCTGCTGGGGCAAGAAAAAGCAGAAGAGAGGCATGAAAGGGACAGGGCAGAAGGACGTCAGAAGTTCAGGTTCACCTGCCACCTTTAAACTACTGAACAGTAAATTGTAACATCGCTGCTGAAGATAGCAGTAGTTTGTTCTTCAACAACAACAACAGCAGAAGTCACAGAAGGAATATTAAATTGGATTTTATTCCTTTGTTTTTATTATCGTTGCCCTTCAAGCTGCGCAAGGACAGATCTTTGTGAAAAAAAAAATTAGCAAGGGCAACACTTTGGGGTTTGGGAAATGTTTATAAAATAAACGTTATTCCTCCCATGGAGAAGAAAGTCAGATTCATCCCTAAGCAAGCATATAAAGTTTGTAAGTATCAAAATTTCCTGCTGGGCCTTTGGCATTAAATTTAAAAAATAAAATAAAATAAAACAAAGCAATGTAGATTTGTTTTTACCTACACTGAGAAATATCCTAACCAGTGTAGGAATGAAAGCCTGGGCAGGATGGAAGGCTACTGGTGAAACTGCATTGCGTTTTAGTAACCGGTTCTTTGAGAAATGAGAAACCCAAAGGAAAGGATGTAAATCACATCAAGCACCATCACCTCCACTGTGGAACTCCACAAGCTCATCTGTTTCCATGTAACTGAGCCCCCTAACAATTCAGAACTCCGCTGTCAGTACTGCTCTTAGATGAGCATCGGCTTATTTCAGTTGAAAGACACTTGTGATAATGTCAGAAAAAACATTTCGTAAAGAAAATTCATTTTTCCTCTCTACGCTTTGCTAAAATGTGATGCCCCAAACACTTGTTCCACTGCATTCTTGCGTGGAGCTTCCTTTAAAGAATGCTATTCTATCAGGCACAAAACACATCACTGCTGAATCGAGGCCAGGAAGCAGCCATCTCTTGCAAAAAAGCTGTAGGTAGGGTCTCAGTATTCATGTTGAGATGTGGGAACATACTGTGTAGACCAGAAAAAGCTGCAGAACAACCCATACACACACCAGCTCCTGCTCCACAGCCCCCAAACTAACTTGTAGGAGTCTGCGTGGAGAAGACCTCCATTCAAACACACATTTCAGGTGACACTGAAAAGGACAGAAAACGCCTGGAATCACCCAGTCACCCATCCACCATTCTCACAGACACCATCTCCCAGATCTGGATTTAGGTGTCATCACCACTTTAGCTTTCAAATGCAAAACAAAGTGATGTTATTTTCCTGTTCAATTTTATTCATGTTATAGAGAATGCAGTAAAACTCGTCGTGCCAGAGGATTTGCAGAGAGACGATGTGAAGATTAATTAGCAGCTGCTCATAAAGCACCCTGGCTATGGAAAGCCCTATGTGTAAAAATGACCTTGCTATCATAGCTGCTGAGCACTCCCAGTGCTCACCGTCAATGGAAGGGATGGATATTTTTCCTCAGCCTTCTAAAACCAAATCAATTGCATCTCGATATCTACCAACGGCTCCAGGAGGTTCTGGCCTTGTGCCCGTCCCCCATTTCCGCAGGGGGACCACATGTTTTGGTTAAGTCACATCTTTTCATCTTCAAAAAAGAGGAAGATGGAGATAACGTGGAACCAAGACACCTGCTGAGCGCACCGTGTACACGTTCAGGTAACAAATGAACAAATCACACCCCAGTCCTCCAGTTACTTCCTACAAAAAACAGACAGCATTTCAAATATCAAAGCATAGATATCCCTGTGAACCACAGCACTTACTCAGACCCAGCACTGGAAAAAAAATTGATAAGGCATAATACCAAGCACTGAGAGCCCTGCTCAACAAAATGGAGCCTGAAAAGGTACATGCAATGCTTTGCTATCTATTTGCTCCTTCTGTGCCTACAACAGTTAGGAATGCCATCGCATTAATTAAAGCACCACCCTGCAGGACTTGAGAAATCTTTTGGGGGATGATTTCTTGGGTGGCAGCTCTGCCAGCGAGCAGAGCTTGGCGTCTCCTGTACGAACACAACTTCATGCCTGAGTATTGCTACACCACAGAGATTTGTGCTGGAGCACCATAACACTTCTTCACCAACATCCTTCTGTGCTCAGACAACCACCAGCTGGGGATGCTGCTGGGAAATCACCTTATCCCCATCACATCCAACTTCCCTCTGTGCTGACGGAATCTCCTTAAAACAAGGAACTGCAAAAAAAAAAAACAAACTACTCATGCCCACATCCTTTGGGGCCTTCCCCCTGCAACACTCACCCAAGGCTTCCTTCTCCTTCACACAGCACTTCCACCGAGCAAAGAACCACATTCCCTTGCAAACACCCTCATCAGTGCAGGCGGTACGGAGGTGTCAGTGTGGCACGAGGAGTGTCGTGAGAACAGGCAGCTGGCCTACCTGAGGGTATGGCACGGCGGGACACCTGTCTGCAGGGCCGTGCAGGATAGATGGATATTTGTAGGGTGATGAAGGAGGGACGTTTATTTGCATGGAGGTGCAGGAGGATATGTATCAGTAGGGTGATGCAGAAGGAACATCTATTTGAAGTGCAATGCAGGAGGGGAAGCGTATGTGCAGGATGATGCAGAAGGAACACGCGTTTACAGAGCGATGCAGAAGGAATCTGTATTTGCAAAGCAATGCAAAAAGGATGTGTAATTTGCAGGGCGATGCAGAAGGGACAAGCGTTTGCAGAATGTGTGATTCTGTGATTCTGAGAGATGCAGGGATTGCTCATTGACGTGAAAAAATCCAACCTCTAGATGAAGCCCATCTCCATTCACCCTCCCTGGGAACCCACACAAAAGCCAATGCACACTGATATCATGAGTGTCCTATAGGAAGGCCAGAAGGAAATCATTGAGAAAAAATGAAGCATTCACATGTGATGAAAAAAAAAAAAAAAAAAAAAAAGGAAAAAGATAAATAAAAAGGGAGGAGGGGGGCACGACGGCAGCGTCGCCCGGTCAGAAGCCGCGTAAAGCAGCGCGCTGCGCCCAGGGCCGTCAGCCCGAATCGGGGGGCTCCGATCCCCACCGACGCGGAGCCGCACGCGGAGCTCTGGAGCGCGCTCCCGCGCCGCGCCCGCGCGCCGCCCTGGGCCCATTGATCGCCGGGGGGCGCGGGGGGCGCGGCGAAGCCCGAATTAACGACCGAAGAGCGGCGCGGTGCCACGACCTCGCGATTTCACCCCCAAACGCCGCGTCCCCCGCTCCACTCACCGTGGCCGAAGCGACGGCGCCGTCCGCCAGGGTCAAGTGGTGCGGCTCCCACCGCCGCAGGAACTTGGAGGTGAGGATCTTGCTGAGAAACGTCCGGGGGTGCCGGATGACGCACACCTGGATGTCCCCCTCCTGCAGCAGTTTGTACCTCATGCCGTTGCAGTGCAGCAGGGCCCGGCGGCACGGCGCGGCTGCGGGGCGGGTGCCCTCGGGGCCCGGCGGCGGTTCTGCGGGGAGCGCCCTGCCGTCCTCTGCGCGCTGCCCGCGGTCGCCGGAGCCGCCGCCGCCGCCGCCGCTGCGATCCATCGCGGCTGAGGGGATGGCGGCGGGCGGAGGCGGGGAGAGGAAAAGAAAGGAGATCCGACCCCACGCGGCGGGCTCAAAAATTTAAATCGAGGAGGAGGAAAATAATAATAATTAAAAAAAGAAGAAAAAAAAAAAACACAAAGCCGCCGGAGAGGGCGAGGGAGCGGGGTTCAAGGGAAGCGATCAGAAGCCGAATTCAAACTTCCCCCTCCGCCCCGCGGCGGGGCCCCGCGCCGCTCCCGCAGCGCCACATCCACGCCCGGCTCCCGGCGGGGGCTGCAGACAAAAGGCGGCGGCGGGAGCTCGGCGCGGGGCTGCGGGGTGGCCGGCCGCGGCTCCTTCCTTCCCCCCGGGGCGTGTGCGCGACAGCGGGCGGCGGCGGGCGCGCGTGTGCATGTAGGTGGGTGCGTGGGTGCCCGCGCGTGGCCGGGGCGCGGGCGCGTGTGAGTGTGTATGTGTGTGTGTGTGTCTGTGTGTGTGTGTGTGTCTGTGTGTGTGTGGCGCGGGCGGGCGGGTTTCTGTGTGTATTATCTGTGTGTGTGCGTGTCTCTGTGTGTGTGTGGTGTCCCCGCGCGCGCCGCCACCGCGGGAGGAGGCGGTGAGAGGAGAGAGCGCTGCCCACTGCCTCTCTCGCCGAAGCCGCTCCGGGCGCAGCCGATTGGCTCCGGCGAGGTCACGTGCCGCCCTCCCTGACGTCAATGGCCGCGGAGCCGCCGAGGGCAGCGGTGGCAGCGGCGTTGGCGGCCGCGCGCGCCTCTTCCCGCGCAAGCAGCGCGGTCGCTGCGCCCCTCCCCCGTTCTCAGAGGGGCCGGGGAGGGCGGTGCGACCCTGAGGAAACTGCCCAGGGAAGGGCGGAGGTGTGTGGGCACACCTGCGCGCCCCCGGGGGGCAGCCCTCCGCCCTGAGGAAAAGGCTGTTGGAAAAGGGAAGAAAAAGGGGTTTTGTTGTGTTCAATCACGATAGATAGCCCCGGGGCAGGCCCCAGGGTGGGGGCGGCCCTGCCTCAGGGCTGGGCGATGACCCGACAATCCAAAGGCCAAGGAAGTCTCCGGCTGTGGATCTTGCTCCCATTTTCCTGAACTGAACCACTACGCCACGACCAATAACATGTATATCATATATCATATCATGTATATCATGTAATACACACACGTGTTACTAAACGTTGGGATGCATCGTGCTAGGCCCAGCCCAGGTCAGGACTTGAGGAGAAACATACTGGGCTGCTTCAGCACAACAGTCAGAGGAGATCTAAATCTTAAATGTTGAAACTCATTGTTAATGGGAAAGGCAGGGGTGCAGTTCCAGCAGAGCCATCACCTGCCCTGGAAAAAACTCCCATTGAAACTTAGGTTCACATCGGGAGTCACAGTTACAAAGTGGAGAGGTGAGCTGCGACTGGAAGGGTTGGGAGCTTTTGCTGTCCAGCCTTTTGTGTTGGCGGCTGTTAGAAACAACTCCTGACTGCATGGTGCACAATTCTGAGCGTGTCCATCGTGACTGTTGCTGTAAAGCCGTTCTGTTGAAATCGGCTTGCATCTGACAGCAGAATTGCTAGTTAAACACTTTCAGCGGGGAAGGATTTTGTAACCTATCAATACTAGCAAACTCTGTGAATACTTTTGTTGAATGTCAGCATCAAAATTATCTAGAAAAAGCTAGGAAGTTGCCAGAGTGCTTCTAAATACCAGTTTCTAGAATGATGCACAGAATTGCAGAATTTAGCTAAAGCTAGCAGAAAGACTCTCATTTAATAACAGGAATGATACAACCAACAGGAAGACAAAAACCTCTTTTGTAGAAGTTCAGTTTGTCCATATCTAAAAGCCTTGGTTTCTTCCTGAACTTAAACCAACCAGCCACTGTGTGCTAACTATTACAAGCAGCTCCCACAGAGCTTTGTATACCGTACATTGTGAGGGGTGATTGACACATGTGTTTGCACAAATTAAATCAGATCTACCCATACCTGTAAATTTGTGTGGATCTCCTATTAAGAAAAGAGAGAGGGGAAGGGAAGGGAAGGGAAGGGAAGGGAAGGGAAGGTAGAAGGGAATTTTAAAAAAAAAAAAAAAAAAGATTTCCAAACTAAATTTTAAAAGGACAGCTTTGTTCAGATGTAAGCTTTTCTCTGCAGGAACTCTGTTTCTAGGAGTTCCTACGATGGGCTGATACAAGGGAGACATGTTCTTGTCTGACCCACTGCACTGTTCTAGTTCTCGCAATAATGGTCTCAATGGTAGGACTGTTTGCACACACTCACCTACAGCAACACTTCCATCAGTCAGAACTGTAACCAATGAGACTATTTTGGTGCGAGTTCGTGCAAACTAGCCACCTGCTCAAACCACTGCTTTAAATCTACCAGAATTGTCATCGCTGACAGCTGTCTGATAATAGGAGGGCAGTATGCAAAGAGAGTTTGATGATTTCAAGTGAATTTCCTTGCAAATCAGAGTAGAGGTTTTCAACTCGTGTATTACAGAAAGAAACAAAAAAAGCAGTGGTCTGCAGCAGCCAACACATGAGTTAGCTGGCAAGATCCAGGCCCTCACTTGAAATCTGCAGCTTGATGTTGAAATTCACTGAGATATTGCAAAAGGACAGCACATCAGGCAGCACCACTGCTAGCAAGCCAAGGACACAGCTCCATAGCGGTGCTATGTCTGCGGATCACTGAATCCACCCTTCTAGGCTGCAGGTGATCTCTGAAGGAAATTCAACACAGAACAGGTATGAAATCTCACATTGCCTGCCAACATGGGGCAACCAAAAGCCCTGACAAGTGAAATCAAAACATGCTGCTTGCTGAAATGTGCTTTAGCCATCCAGCCTGCAGCAAATGTGACCCTAGGCTGAGCACATTAAAACTAAAACCCCTTCTCACATTCCATACAAATTATACCAAGCAGAAGCCGGATGTCTGGCCTTCCCTGTATGAACAAAATAGACCTGGGAGTGTGGTCAATGCTCGGTTGAACATGAGCCAGCAGCGTGCCCAGGTAGCCAAGAAGGCCAATGGCATCCTGGCTTATATAAGAAATAATATAGCCAGCAGGACCAGGCAGGTGGTTGTCCACATGTACTCAGCTCTGATGAGGCTACACTTCAAAACTATGTTCAGTTTTGGGCCCTTCACTACACAAAAGACATCAAGGCTCTGGAGCACGTTCAGAGAAGGGCAATGGAGCTGGTGAGGTTGTATGAGGAGTGGCTGAGGGAACTGGGATTGTTGAGTCTGGAGAAGAGGAGGCTCAGGGGAGATGTTATTGCTCTCTGTAACTACCTGAGAGGAGGTTGTGACCAGGAGTGTCAGTCTCTTCTCACATGTAACTGGGGACAGGGCAAGAGGGAATGGCCCCAAGTCACAGCAGGGGAGGTTCATGTTGGATATTAGGAGAAATTTATTCTCCAAAAGAGTGGCCAGGTGCTGGGACAGGCTGCCCAGGGAAGTGGTGGAGTCACCATCCTTGAAGTGTTCAATAAGCATTTGGATGTGGTACTGAGGGACATGGTGTAGTGGGGAAGTGGAGGTGGTAGGTGGACAGTTGGAGTGGATGATCTTGGAGGTCTTTTCCAACCTCGGTGTTCTATCATTTTGGCTCCATGCAGCCCAACAGACATCTCAGCTGTACATGTATCACAGTATTGCAAAGTGGTGTTCAGGGGTCACTGTGTTGGTATTTTTTAATTTTCTTTCTGGAATCTAATTTTTGTGAGCAGATACATCAGTGTGTTAGAACAAAAACAACGTGACATTCTGAAGGAAAAGAAGATGGGTAATTTGTGAATACTGCTCAGTGCCAATAACACAGGCTGTAGAGCAGTGGGGGGCCTGGAAAACCCATGAGAAAACACTTGAGGTGCCAAAATGTACACAGGGAAAAAAGCGGTTGCCTAAAGGCACCTTGTATGAGAGTATACCCATGCAGTAGTGTTGTATGACAAGCTAAAGGAGGGGAGACAGGAACAAGGGCCAGAGCACTCTCCCCAAAGAGGATTAGCAGGATTTGTAGTATGATTTCAAAGGTAAAGCTAGAAGGAGGAATAAGATAACTCTTTCCTCCACCTTTGCATGATTCCTGATTTGTTTTACAGAATAATATGATAATAATGGTTCAGGCAAAATCTTTCTACAGTCCAATCAAAGAAGGAAGAAAACAAACCTGCTTCTGTTGTTTCACTGAAATTTTTACAGTTGGAGGCTGTAAAGGCCTACTGCATTCATACTCGCTATCAAAAAACAAAAACCACAATAAAACAAAACAAGAACCCCACTGCTATTGTAGGCTCAACAAGTCCCTGAGAGATATCAGCACAGAAATGTGAGGCGATTTTGCCAAATAGAGAAGCAAGCACCAGGAATTCCCAACTCGTATTCAGTATCCGTTCAGACTCTTACACAGCAGCTGTCCCACTCATATTTTAATCCTTGATGCAACTAGAGATAATGGAGCTTTCTTCCCTTATTCACAGAGGTGTTGTGTGGATTATGGAATTGTTAGTCAATGCTTGTAAATTACCACTGTTGACTCAGAGCAAATTGCAAATTCCTGCTATCAGACTGGGTAGTCAGCTCATTCTCATAACAATGCTGTATTGTTAAAAATACTTTTAAACCACTCTTCGGTGAAACTGGGAAATACAATACATTCAGGCAAACATATGAAACATAAAAGAGATGCTGTATCAATAATGCTAGAAGTCCTGCATTTGAAGTTTGAGTTAATCACTGCAGTGGCTCCTTAGGAAGCTACAGCAAGT